TCCAGAGTTACATTCAATTTTAGAAGAAACAGACAGCTTTGATATGTTTCAAAAATATGGAACTTTGATCATTTCTTTGAATAGGGGAAGACTAAGAGAACCTTCTGACAATTTAGTCTACTTTGTTTTTTATTGTTTTTTTATATTTGAAGTGACACTTGTGAATAAAGTTTCACCATTGCTGTGCAAGAAAGCATTAATTGACATTTTTATTAACTGCAATAGTAAATTTCAATTGCTTGTTCAAAGTGTTAAAAAAGTTTGCTGCATTTTGGCAAACATTTTTTTAAACAATTGTTGTAAAAAACACTCTGAAGATTTTGGGAAGGAATGTTTAATAAAACAAGCAAAACTTTCAACTTCAAAATAAAATACTTTGAGTCAAAAAAGTCAAAATAATTTTAATAAAATAAAGTTAATATATTTGCTTGTTTTTATCAAAAAATTTATTATTTGTATTACAAGTGTTAAACAGCTAAAATAAACATATAGTTATAAAAACGAGATTTAGTCATTTTTAGCTAAACTCCTTAAATTTTTATTGTAATTAACTTAATTCTAAACGTAAAAAAAATTCCTACAATATTTGCTTTCGAAATTCAATCAAAATGTTTTGTCCTAATAAAGCTCTTTATTTGTTTCTGAAGTTTCTTTACAAAAGCAAAGATAAAAAATAATTTTAACCGTAAAAATGTCGGCCTTCGCTAATTTTACGGAAAATGAGCTGTCGCGGCCTGTTTAAGAAGGCCTTGCTATTAATAAATCCTAAGCCGTAACAAAGGGCTCCAAATGTGGTCTCAACAATCCACACCAAAAGTACAAACAGGGACACCACCCATGCGCAACATGGCACTGTTTGTACTCTGATATTTTACAGCTGTTGATGGAAGCAGCCTCTATGAGAGCTACTAAAGAGTTCTGAAAACCTGACTACTAGCCGGCCTCAGACCATATAAACTGAGTTTTAGAGCTGTAGCTTCATTAGGAGATAATAAAATGAGTTACCTAGTCATAAAAACGTCATTTCTCAATTAAACTTTTTTACAGCTTGCAGTCCAGACAACATTCCTGTCATGGTCTTACAAAAGCACTTTCCAGAACTTTTTTCAATTTTCTATAAACTATTTGATGAGTGCTTGACTAAATCTTGTTTTCCTGCTTCTTAGAAAAATGGCATTGTGGTTTCAATTTATTAAAAACTCTGGAGAAAACTCTGAACCCTTTAACTATGGCCTGATCAGTCTTCTATCTGTTATTAGCAAGGTCTTTGAGCCTTTGATCAACTAATTTCTAACATCCTATCTTGAGTCAAATAACTTACTCTCAGACAACCAATACGGTCATAGATCATCTCACTCTATGGATGACTGTTTTGACTGAAAGATTTTATGGTGCATTAAATGGAGGCAGCAAGGAAAAGGCTATTGCTTTTAACATATCTAAAGCTTTTGATAAAATTTGGCATACTGGTTTTCTCCATAAGCTCAAATATGATAGTTTTTAAAACAATTAAATCATTTCTTTCTAACTGCTTTATTAAAGTCCTCCTTGAAGGCCAACACTTTTCTTCATTTCCAGTAACTTCTGAAGTACTTAAGGGTCCTTGGTTCTGTTTTGTTTCTAATCTATATTAGTGCTTCTACTAGATGCCAACTCAAATTTGTACTCCTGTCGTGACAAAAAGTCTTCGATTTCTTAGAATCTGATCTCTCTTATGTAACAACATAGAACTTACAGTGGCATATCAATTTTAACTCTGACAAAACTCAAATATTTAACAACTATTGCAATCTTATTAACATTATTAAATAATGACAACCCTCTGACAGAGTCATCCACTTAAATTCTTGGATTATCATTTACTACTGACTTCTCAAGGAAACCATAAATACAACCTATTGTAAAGTTAACAACTCATTGTAAAGTTAGTATCAAGATTGCTTCTTTTCATCATGCTTTTGGAATCATAATTTAATTATGATTCCATTTTCTACCTTTACAAATCTTTTATTTGTTCCTGTATGGAATACTGCACTCATATTTTGGCTGGTTTTTCTAATGGTACTCTTTTTCTTCTACATTATCAAAAATGCATTCATAAATCTAGTTGGACCTGCTTTACCTACCAAGCTCTTGTCACATCGTCATAAAATTGCATCTCTTTCTCTTTTCTACAATAACATTCTTTTCTACAAACTCATGGTTGCTGCAATCATTTCTAGTTTTATAAACTAAAAGTTATTCTTACTTGATTCTTTATTCATCACATCGTTTTACAGTGTATGTGCCTTCATGTTCTAAAAATATTTATTTATCTAGCTTTTTTTCTTACACATCAATGCTTTAGAACTCTCCCATTTTTATGTTTCCTTCCTGACAATTTTTCGAAAATAGTTACAATACTTGATTAACAGGGTATATAATCAGAAAAAAAAACATATGTAAATTTTTAAAATGTCATCTAAAGGTTGCCATATTGAAAAAATGTTGTTTTCTTTTTTACACTTTTATCAACTTTAAATTTTAATCATTTAAATAATAATTTAAAGTTATGTTACTTGGTGCATATAATAAGAGTTTTCAAATAAACATTTGGTAAAATTTTTAAAAAATTGTTTAATGTCTAGAGGTTGCTTTGTTATAAAATGTTTTAATTTTTGACATGTTTTACCAAAAAATTCTCCCAACAGACTGTATGCTTTGAAGGAAGTTGTTATATTGTATGCAAAATACATTTTTGAGCATATTTGACCACTGAATGTCATGGTGTGATTAAATATTTTGCATTGCAAAATAAACATCTGTATTTGTACAGATAAAATTCCATAAACTTATAAAAAAAAATTGGATATTATATAAATTTGAAAAATTGAAATTTTAGGAATAATCTTAAAATTAGTTTATTCGATTTGAACATTTTATTATGATGATGTATAATAATGTTATGACCTCAGAAAAAATAACCAAGATTAAAAAATAAACAAGATTAGTTAATTGGTCACCCTGAATCCAATAACTTGTCAAACTGCAATTGGCTGCAACTAAAAAATGTAATATTTGTTTTTATTCAAAAAGCTTCTGAAAGAGATATTTTCAATACAATTTGTTCTTGCTGAGCTTAAGAAAGTTTGGGAAAAACCCGGAGTACCAATCAAAGAACTCTTGCTTTTCATTGCCTACAAAATTGTTGGGGAAAAAAGTGAAAATAAAGAAAATTGAGCAATCAAGTTAAAATGCTGGAAAAGAAAAAAATTGTCAGATTTTGTAATGAACTTAAACAACTCTGCAACATTTCAGCAATAAATGCTTTAGCACAGCTGTTTATATTACGAAGAACAAAATGGAGAGAAGATTGAGTATTTTGTGAAGATCAAGAGAGTAGCAGAAAATACCACATGACAGATAGAATTGATTGAATATTTCAAAATTTTTAGAATCTAAAGAAGCTAGACTGAGCATAAATTTGTAAGATCAAAAATCAAGTGCCTTTGAGGTCAATGAATTAACTAATAGTGCTGATAAAGAACATTTAAATGAAAAAGAGTTTACTCCTTATTTAAAAAAATGCTACTCTTCAGATATCTTGTAATCTTGTCTACAATTACATATGCTAGATAAGTTTTTAAAATTTTTGCAATGTAAACCTACTCAATCACAGAAATAAATACTATTTTGGGTAAGGTAAAACTTACTTTAATGTCTTAATACAACATGAATGAAACAATAAATTAAGTTTGTAATGGGTTGCAGAAAATCTGAAATGACACAAGCACTTTGACATTTTATATCATTATCTTCCAAAAAGTAAAGGATAAAAAATTGCTTTGTTATTCAACTTTTGCTCATTTGGAAACCTTTAACTAAAAAAATGTAATTTTTCGGCATAGTAATTTATAACTATGATTACATGGTAATGTAGTTTTTGGATATAAAGTAATAGTAATATATAATAATAATAATAATAGTAATAATAATAATATATTAATAGTCTGATAATTAGTCTATTTGTTGACAAGATTTATCAATCAAATGATCTACAGGAAAAATTATTGGAAATAAAACATGATTTTTTTAGCATTTAGCCACTGAATAAATATTATTGAAAGTAGTAAGATACTCTTTATTGCTTGGTATCCAGAAATTAATCACAACTGTACAGTATGCAGATTTAATAATTTAAATGTTAAGAGATATTTATAGTCTAAAATAACTTGTATTATTAATGCTTAAAGTCCTACATTCTACATGGTTGCAAATGCTTATTGAGAAACCTACATAAATACATTACTTTGTATTAACTTTGATCTTAGTTCATAAAACTTTGATAACCAAACTTTGATATTAAAAGAAACTTTAAAATTTAATTATTTCAACAAAATTGATCAAATATGCACCAATCCAAATCTCAAGAACAAAAGCTAGTAAATTACATTGTTCTGACTTTGAAGAAGTTACAAACTTTTTTTTTTAATCAATTTCATAAGTAAATCAGTCTTGTTTATTTTTGCAACACAGCTCTTTTTTTTTTCAAAAGACTCTGACTTAGGTTATTTAAAACCTGAGTATAATTCAATACTCAGGTTTTAAATATCTGTGTATATTTGTGTATACATAGCTATTTTAAAACTGAAATAGCTGTGTATGCTTTTTATGTGTGTTTAATCAAATTATGATTAGTCATTTATAATATTAAGTCATTTTAATAATGTTGAGGCGGATATTTTATTATTTAAATTTTTTGTTCTTTTATTTATTTAGGTGCTCTTATTTTATTTAGGTGTTACTTCATTAACTATATGTGTAACACCTAATCATTAGTGTCACTCATATAGTTACTTATTTTATTTTTATCTAAATATATTTAAAGTTGTATTTTTTTCAATTTTCATGATTAAAAAAATGTACCATTGAAACTTGAACAATGAGATTTTTTGTTACAAACTTTACATATGATAATTTAAATGGATTTATAACTTTAATAATCCATAATAAAAACTTACAGCTAATCCACCCCACCAATACACTCCAAAAGAATAACTAGTTATACCATATTCATCAAAAGATCGAAATTGAATATTATATGGTATTTTTGAGGCAAACACCCATCCACATACAGTTGATATAAAACTAAAGAGAAGAGAAAGTATTCCACATATTCCAATGGTTAATGCAAACTTTTTTTGAATTTGACCCATGTTGATGTCTGATTACTCACGTTAATTATAAATACAGTGAAAATTCACTGTACCGAAGGATGCGTTTTTTGATAGGAATAGTGAAAATCTATTTTTAGAATATTTTTAAAAAATTACTTTCATTTTCCAAAATGCGCATGCTTTAAAACAACGAGTATATTTTCGGAGAGAGTTCTTGAATAAAATTTAGTAGTTATAAGATTTTCAATAAGATTCTTAAAGATTAAAAAATGGAGGACATTTTCATGAAGAATTTTAGAGATTTTGATGAAGCAGAAAAGTCTGTTATTGAATATTGTAGAATGAATTTTCACTCCGTCAAAATCGACTCAAAAGAAAAAGTTGAATATTATAATAAAAAAGTAAAGGAAGGTTCCCAGATATGTTGTATTCCTCTTAACGCTATATATGGTTGTAGGTGAGCCCTATATAATAATAATAGTAAAAATTGATAGTATTGGTAATACCAGTAATAATAAGGTAAGCTGTGATAATTGCTGAAATAGATAAATAAGATAGTGGAACAAGTTCCACAATCACTTTTAATAGTATTATTATGATATTAATAGATGATGTTTTGCTACTTATAGCATGCTAGCACAACATTTTTTATTATTGTGTTCCACAATCAGTGAAATTTATTCAGCAATATTATTTGTTTCAGCAATATTATATACATTTGTATGTACAATTGTACATAGTAGGTACGCGGACTGATTTTTTTAAATTAATTAAATACTAGAATATTATATATCATTAGAAAGCCCTCAAATACAGTATTTTAATGGTGAAAAATCGGACAATTCTATAAAAAGTTATTGCGTTTTTAGTAGCAAATTTTCGATATATGAATTTATTGAAGAAACTTCCAAAAATTTTTTTTCCCCCACTAAAATTGTTATAACTTTGTCAAATCTTATCCAAATGTCTATACCTTGGTATCAAAAGATAGATGTAAGAGTAGGCTACAAGTTTATATAACTCTATAGATGAAAGGGGTGTCTAGAGGACCGGAGGGGGTGCCGGAACACCCTCGTACCCTTAAAAAAATACAAGTTTTTCACACGAAAGAGTGTTTTTCTGATAAAATATGTCATCTTTATACACAAAAAATTGTTCCAATTTGCTTCCAATCCATTTCCAAATATTAGTGGTCTATTTTAGATTGAAGGGTGGAGGTCTTTGTTACGTTTTAACACCCTCGTAGTGAAATGCTACATTGTTATAAATATTTGAACCTAAAAAACAATGATTATATTTTGTATGAAAAATTTTAAATTAAATTTTCTTACTTTACAGCATATACAAGTGGTGTATAAGTTGACATAAGGGACGGGACATAAGCCACGCCAAACGCCCTCCTTCCTGCCCAGTTTTATCCAACCTAAAAAAAAAAATTAAATAGATATTTGAAAAATAGTTTTAAATTAAGTTTATTGGAAAAGAGAAACAAGTATTCAAGATTATTTTAATATGTTAGTACAGGGGTGTGCGCTACACCCAACGCCCCCTCCCCTTCTCATTCAAACTTGCAAAAAATGTCAAAAATTTTTTTAATGTTTTTAAATTATGTTTATTTAAAGAGACATAACTTTTCTAATCTTACCACATTACAAAATACAAGTTGGAGTATCCACCCTAAAAATAGGCCAAAGATAAAACTAATTTTAAAACTTATATAATAATATAATAATATTATTATATAAGTTTTAACTTATATAACAAAATATAATAAATTTAAGTCTTGGCTTTTAGTAAATGATATTGTTTAAAATTCCAAGATTAATAATATTATAAATAATGTAAAAAAATGTACTAAATTATATAAACCTAAAAAATATCAAAAAATTTAAAAAACTCATACATACCTTCTTTAAACAAGTTACGATTACAAGAAACTGATATTTCAACCTCAATAATGCAAATATAATTTTTAGGAACTGTAAACATAGGGTACATAAAAAAATTAATGCATAAAAAAGAGTGAAAAAAACGAGAACCAAAATTTTAGCATAAAAATCGGTTCCGTAAATCGCGATTTCCGCGTACCTATACATACAAATTTTGTACATATAATTGTACATACAATTGTATGTACAATTGTACATACAATTGTATCTACAATTGTACATACAGTTGTATCTACAATTGTACAAATGATGTATAGCTTTACATCATATATTAATCAATTGTACATTATTATATGTACAGTACAGTACTGCAGTACAGTACTTACTTTACCCTACAATATTGTACATAAGTACTGAGTACTTATGTACAATATTGTTGGGTAAAGTGGGGCATTAAGCCCTATGTTTTAATAACTTTAATTTTTTCTATTAGAAATAAATAAATATTAAGTTCAAACTGGAAATGTTTTAAAGTGATAGACAACACTTAACTCTTTAAGTACAAGAGTTTTAATTAGTAAAATTTAAAACCGTATGGTAAAAAACAGCCAAATAGTTACAACTAAAAATTTCAATTATATTTTTCCTACTGAAAGAAACAAAGAAAAAAAAAACGAAAGCAAAAGAAACAATAAAAATAACAATACAAAGAGAAGTAAATTAATAAAAAAAAAGAAATAATACAAAATTATTGGGAAAATGGCCTTATAAGATTAAAAAAAAATGTTAAAATGTAAAATATAATGTTAAATTTTTTAAATAACAAGGACATTCATTGGCATTTTTTTACTAGAAAGTTTCAGACTTTATTTTTATGAATGATGTCTTTATAATTTAGATAAACTGGCTATAATTAAAAGTGTATCTTAATAATGATGTTGTTATTTCACTTGGCGGTTGAATTGTAAATGATTTCAGATTATCATGACTTTGTAATTATGTTTTTATGAGTTTATCTTTTACGAGTTTTATGAGTTTACTATGTAATTATGTTTTTCGTGGTTTAAAAACTGTATATAAAGAGTTCTTGTTTTTATTTGCAATCATATAAATGACAATTGTAATAATTATATTAAATTAACTATGACTACTTCAAAAAACACAAGACTGTCTATGGAAACAAAGTTACCAACATATTTAGGCAGAAGTAAGGATCTTATTCCGTCAGAAGTGCCAACTTTAAGAGATATTTTGAGAAAAAGTCTGCTTATCCAAGAAGCTCTGCTTCGAGAAGATGTTAACAGGTAATAATCAAGAAACTCAAAATTTATGAAACAAATTATACCTTTTGCATTATATTATATATTTTTGTCTTTAGGAGGAATATTTGATTGAGAGACCTTTCTCGACTACTAGCTGATATCGTTTTTCAGCAGTGGATGAAAGCAAATGCTCTTTTTAAACCTCCAGTGGTTATTGGAAAGAACTTTGATGGAAAAAATTGAGTTTTCCTGGAACAAGATCAAAGATATAGCACATGGGAAAGCTTCTCAGACACACGTGTCTTTTTGGGAATCAAAACTAGATGAATTGCTAGATATAACATGTTGCAAGTGTGAAACTATGTTATGTAACGAGTTGTGTTTGCAAAAACTTATTCTTGGGTCGAACAAGTACATATTAAATGAACTTATGTAAAAGAAAAAAAAATTCCAAAGGTTGAACTTCTATGGCTTAATGCCCAAAGGAATAAAAAAGGATCTATTTCAAAATACCAGATGGGTTTCAATGTTATTAAAGAGACCGCGAGACAGTTTTCGCGAGAGGAGAAAAAAATGAAGAGAAAGTCTGGAGTAGAGGAAAAATTAGAAATGGAAAAAAAATATAAGGTAGAAAATGACGACGTTATTGAATGTTTAATTGAGGATTATTCAGATTTAAAAAAGGAAAAGATTTCAGAAGATTCGCTTTAAAACAAGATTTGGAAAAAAATTGTCAATAAGTCATATTGCAGAAACTTCAATAAGATATGATATTTCATTAGTAGCAACATCAGCTATTATTACATCCTTTCTTCTAGACCTTATTGAAGCAGATATTTGACGCCTGATATGTCTTATTTACCTGTTGATCCTATGAAAGTAAGAAGAGCAAAGGAAGAAAAAATGGAGAGAGTAATAATGTATGAAGAAAAGTTAATCGACAAAGAACCTATTAGAGGTTTGTTTATTGATGGCAGGAAGGACTCCACTTTTATTTTGGAACAGAATCCTCTAATAAATAAATTTCACATGAGGACTATAAAAGAAGAACATATAACTGTGACGTGTGAGCCTGATGGAAGATACCTCACTCATTACACACCACCTAAAGCTATACCGCCAAGCAAAACCAGCTCAGAATCCCTTATATTAACTCTTTTGTCAAGTTCAGATGAAGAATTGAGGAAGTTTGCCATTAAAACAATTAAAGATATAAGGAAAACCTCGCAGTTCGGAGACACAGCGGTAAGGTCAAGAAAAAAGGTTTTTCTCAATACAGAAGCTTTGTCTATCAAAGACAAAGCTTCTATATTGAGAAAAAACAAATTGATTTTTTTTTAGAAAAAAAACTTTTTCACATTTCACAGCATATATAAAAAAAAATCTAAATAGTTTCATATTTCAATAATTTTAAAATTTTGACCCCCCTTGCATTTATGCATAAATGAACAATTTTACCTTTTCGAAAACTGCAATCCCGCCTAGGTAAATAAAATTTTTTTTTGGAAGTTCATTTTTACATATAGTGGCACCATTAAAATCATCCGCCGAATTCAAAATCAAAAATTTGAAAAGTATGATGCTCAGGCCCCACAAATCAGGGGCCCCCAAATATTTTAGAGGAGCGTTTTTTTTATTTATTTATTTTTAGGCTTTTGCACATAAAACAGGCCTCCAAAAAAACAAAACACCCGGGTCGTAGGATGTCTGAATCCGTCGCTGGTGGCCAGTGATGCGGTTTTACCAAAATACAACTATCTTACCTAAATAATATTTTGAAAACACTCTAAAACTCTATTAAAAAAATAAAATAACATCTTTCAAATCTATATACATTAAAAACTTAACAGAATTTATTTCTTTGTTTTTAACACGTAAGCCACTTTTAACCCAGGTAGCAACTGTCTATGTTGAGAACTAATATACCATCTCTTGCGCCTGGCCTATCTATGGTCATGGATGCAAATGTC